TATCCATAAGTAAATGTCAAATATCCATTTTTATTTATAAGAAATTCTAGATGAAAACACGTGCAATATATTGGTGTGTATCGCAATGCATAAATCATCATTGCAATAAATTGCTGTGTGAATTCTGGTCAATACCCATCACTGTCGACCGCCTCCGTAGTCTAGTGGTAGAGCGTCCGCGCGGAGAGCGGAAGGTCCGGGGTTTGATCCCCAGCCGCATCATACCAAATGACATTAAAAGATGGTACTTGCTGTTACCCTGTCGGGCGCTCGGCATCAAGGGGCTAAAACAAGGACTGGTCGGCTCGGAGTCAGTATACTGTGTCTAAGTGGGGTATTCATGTTAAACTACTAAGGACAAATTACTTTTTTTCAAGTATATTTCTGAAAGAAATGTCGACCTCACTTCTGAACATCAGCGGTTGGTCTCAAACAGAGGCATAATCTACTTCAGATTTTTATCATTATTAGGTTTACATGTCCACAGACAAAATTTCACAAATATGGAAGGTAAGTCACATCAGATTAACTAGAGTAATAGCAAAATATAACGTGTTGTGTAACTTCTTTTGATAGTATACAGTCAACTACGGTTATAACGAACACGCTTATAACGAACTGACGGATATAACGAACTTATTTTTTGGTCCCGACTAAAATTACTAGTCCCTTTGAGTTTGTTATAACCGTAGTTTACTGTATAAGTTAATATAAAATATATGATATATGATATATAATATATAATATATAATATATGATATATAATATATGATTTATAATATATGATATATGATATAATATAACAGTATCATGAGTTCCCGTTTATTTTTTAGAAAAATCTGGATTAAAAAAAAGAAGGTAATTTATAGTGACCTACACCCATTTCAGGGCTTAGCACAATACAATTCACATATCCACACTTGCAGTTATTAAATATGAGCACATGGAGACTATATTACAATTATCCACTTTAATATTACATAATGACTGTAACAAGTGTCTATGAAACACTTTTAACAGCAGGCTCTTCTGTACTGTATGAGTAATATCACTGAGAAGTCTGGTGTTAATATTGACTGTGTGAATATGTTGCCAATCAAACTGTCAATCCTGTTAACAAGCTGTTATTAGATTGGTTGGTGGTGTATATTACCACATTGTCCCACAATGTAGTAGTGCTCATATACTTGTTTCTAGGCCACAGTGCAGGCCTCAAAGTTGCGACTAAAACGGTTGCCAATTCGACCTAAATTTCAATTTGTCTACTGTCTAAAATTCAGAGGTAGCCAAATGACTACCTTCAAAATATCTTGTGGCGACTTAATTCTATTGTTTCACATTTGAAGACACAAAAATAAATAACAGCTGATTGTGGAAAACATGACTGCTAATAATTGTACTTACGTATAAGTCCTGCTAAAGTCGACAATGAACAGAAATACAGAAATATTAATGTAATTAGTATCGTATTTCAAATGACAATGCTCATTGGATTAGCAAGGATATACCTAAAAAATCTAGTAGCATAAATTGCATCATTGTTTGTGTCACACAAAAATCTAGTACAGTTTCCACTAATATACATTTCCAAGACTAGTGCTAAGACTTGTACATATTATAATAGTTATTTCATAAAAGATGATTTCAAATGCTTTTGGCTACCAACAATATTGGCTTGACTTCTTTATTTTACTACTGGCTACCTGGAAAACAGTACTTGTAGCCATATGGCTACTTGGTAAAAATTTAGACTTTGAGGCCTGCAGTGTTTATTCCATGCTAAGCTGATATAAAAAATAATTCATGATTTTCAATGTGTGTTTTGGGTTGTTTTTTTTCATCCTTGGTTATACAGGTATCATATCGCCATCCTTGTACCCATGTGCCACTCTCACTTCATTTGGAGACCAGTTTGAATGACATGGTGCTACAAATAATGTCCAATCACGTCACACTGTTCTTCTGTGATTATACGGGGGCACGGGTGGCCCAGTCGTCTAAGGCGCCGCGATTCGCTGTACAGGGTTGCGTCCCTTGGGCACGCCAGAAACCTATGATTGTGGGTTCGAATCTCGGTTCGCCCCGATTAAGTTTCTAGGTTTGTCAGCCCATTTGAAGCCCATTTCTGGAGTCCCCCGCCGTGATATTGCTGGAATATTGCTAAAAGCGGCATAAAACCATATTCACTCACTCACTAGTACTCAAAGATGTATCTTTTTCAGCAATAAGAACATTGATAACAACAGTCTTGTGATTTGTTTAAATACATTGAGGTCTTGAACGGATGAGATTATAATTTTGAATGTAGATCTATGCCAAGCCTGCATTCATTACAGGCATTTTGATTGGTTGTGGATTTAATGCTTGTTCGCTCTCTCACTCACTCGGCTGACTTGGTTGATGCATGTCATCGTATCCCAATTGAGTGGATCGATGCTCATGATGTCAATCACTGGATTGTCTCGTCCAGACTCAATTATTTACAGACCGCTGTCATATAGCTAGAATATTGCTCAGTGCGGCGTTAAACAACAAACAATCAAACAATCAATCACGTGAATCACATTCGTTTAATGCACGGAGATGCTTGAATGAAAAACAAAAATAATATGAGAAATGAAATGCCTTCTGCTTCACACTTCTTTGAAAAATGTATAAAATCTAAAAATTAATTTGTTGTGGCTCTATATCTCCTTGCAGTCTTAGTGTCTAGTATTGTTAATTTATAGTTTCATATTGTTGTATAGTTACCTTGACATACTCATTTATTTTAGATTAAAACAAATGTTCGTCATGAATTTCCAATCATGATTTTCATTAAATTTCTTGATCTTCTTGGAGATGTTTTAGCTTGAGTGACTTGTCATGCTGATTGACGTGTCATGCTGATTGACTTGTTAAAGTCAGTTCTGCTACGTCTAAAGATCGTGACAAAATTGATCTAATCTATATGCTGAATCATTTTGAAGTATTCTTCAAATTTTCTTGAAGAAAATTGCTGCTTTGATGGTTTGATTGTCTGTCTGTGGAGGCATGAGACACGTATTTCAAATCAGTGGGGGTATGTGAGGTGACAGGTGAGGTAAGGTGAGGTGAGGTGAGGTGGGGTGTGGAGGGAGGGGAGGTTTAGATGGGGTGCAATGACATGGATCATTGCTGATGCTGTCAACTACCAGTCAACAAACAACCAAAAAGCAAACAGTAAAAAATAAAAATAAAATTTCCAGACACACATTATAAAATGGACGTATGATTTAAAAAAGAAAGCTGCAAAATGTCTTGACACAGTCCCTTATGCTCCCTGCTGACAGCCATTTTGGTTTATCTGTCGGCCATTTTGATCTATGTGGCAGACATCTTGAGTGTACCCCATGAAGGCCTTGTTGGATATTTCCTGTAGAAAGCTGGCCTGATAGGAAGCAAGATGGAGGGAGGGAGGGGATTTGTTTTCCATACTTGTGTTCCTCCAGATTTTCTTAAAAATTGTGATTTTGTTTATCCTCTCCTGCTGCTGTTTAGATATCTAATGTCGCTTGTCACACGGTCTGAGAAACAGATGGAAAAACACCATGTTATACCGATACCGATATCCTAACAACTTACTTTAGGTTACACCTGGCTCTATCTTTCTTCCTGACAGTTTGATGGGATTTTATAGTGGCTCGTATTAGATACCAGTGTCCTGACAACTAATTTTCCATGTGTCACTTTTTGTCTTAATGTTGTTCAGCTGCTATCTGTTATTTCTCATAGTAAGTGTAAGTGTAAGCGTAATTGTAATTGTAGGTGTAAGCATAAGAGTAAGAGATAGTGTAAGTGTAAGAGTAAATTTAAGCATAAGAGTTAGAGTAAATGTAAGTTTAAGCATAAGAGTAAATGTAAGTGTTAATGTAAGTGTAAGTGTAAGTGAAAGCGTAAGAGTAACTGTAAGTGTAAGCATAACAGTAAATGTAAGTGTTAATGTAAGTGTAAGTGAAAGCGTAAGAGTAAGTGTTAGTGTAAGTGAAAGCATAAGAGTAAATGTAAGTGTTAATGTAAGTGAAAGTGTAAGTGAAAGCGTAAGAGTAACTGTAAGTGTAAGCATAACAGTAAATGTAAGTGTTAATGTAAGTGCAAGTGAAAGAGTAAGTGTTAATGTAAGCGTAAGTGAAAGCGTAAGAGTAACTGTAAGTGTAAGCATAAGAGTAAATGTAAGTGTTAATGTAAGTGTAAGTGAAAGCATAAGAGTAAGTGTTAGTGTAAGTGAAAGCATAAGAGTAAATGTAAGTGTTAATGTAAGTGAAAGTGTAAGTGAAAGCGTAAGAGTAACTGTAAGTGTAAGCATAACAGTAAATGTAAGTGTTAATGTAAGTGTAAGTGAAAGAGTAAGTGTTAATGTAAGTGTAAGTGAAAGCATAAGAGTAACTGTAAGTGAAAGCATAAGAGTAAATGTAAGTGTTAATGTAAGTGAAAGCGTAAGAGTAAGTGTTAATGTAAGCGTAAGTGAAAGCGTAAGAGTAACTGTAAGTGTAAGCATAAGAGAAAATGTTAGTGTTAATGTAAGTGTAAGTGAAAGCGTAAGAGTAATTGTAAGTGTTAATGTAAGTGAAAGCGTAAGAGTAAGTGTAAGCATAAGAGTAAATGTAAGTGTTAATGTAAGTGTAAGTGAAAGCGTAAGAGTAAATAGAGAACTACTATTTGTGTGAATTATTCTTAATGAGTGTAGATTTGATTATTGTTAATGTATGACATTTGATGTAATTGTGTGTTTGATATGTCTTGCAAACAAGTTCCAAGTCTTCACCATGATAGAAAGATGGTAGGTAAGAGGAAATTGTTAGATAGGTGATAGATAATTGCTTGATGGATAGGTAGGTAGATGTAGATTTTATTTTGCAAAAATAAAATTCCATGCAAAAACTGTGGGTGGATTTGGCAATTTAGGTCAATAAAAGGTATCCTAACAACTGATAATTGTTCTTGAAGTTTAACAAGGCCTTGTTTTGAATTTCAGATTAAGTCTAAGTGTAAGAGTAACCATAAGAGTAATTGTAGGAGTAACCGTAAGAGTAATTGTAGGTGTAAGCGTAAGAGTAATTGTAGGTGTAAGCGTAAGAGTAATTGTAGGAGTAACCGCAAGAGTAATTGTAGGAGTAACCGCAAGAGTAACCGTAAGAGTAGTTGTAGGTGTAAGCGTAAGAGTAATTGTAGGAGTAACTGTAAGAGTAATTGTAGGAGTAACCGCAAGAGTAATTGTAGGAGTAACCGCAAGAGTAACCGTAAGAGTAGTTGTAGGTGTAAGCGTAGGAGTAATTGTAGGAGTAATCGTGAGAGTAATTGTAGGTGTAAGCGTAAGAGTAATTGTAGGAGTAACCGCAAGAGTAATTGTAGGAGTAACCGCAAGAGTAACCGTAAGAGTAGTTGTAGGTGTAAGCGTAAGAGTAATTGTAGGAGTAACCGTAAGAGTAATTGTAGGAGTAACCGCAAGAGTAACCGTAAGAGTAGTTGTAGGTGTAAGCGTAGGAGTAATTGTAGGAGTAATCGTGAGAGTAATTGTAGGTGTAAGCGTAAGAGTAATTGTAGGTGTAAGCGTAAGAGTAATTGTAGGAGTAACCGCAAGAGTAATTGTAGGAGTAACCGCAAGAGTAACCGTAAGAGTAGTTGTAGGTGTAAGCGTAAGAGTAATTGTAGGAGTAACCGTAAGAGTAATTGTAGGAGTAACCGCAAGAGTAATTGTAGGAGTAACCGCAAGAGTAACCGTAAGAGTAGTTGTAGGTGTAAGCGTAGGAGTAATTGTAGGAGTAATCGTGAGAGTAATTGTAGGTGTAAGCGTAAGAGTAATTGTAGGAGTAACCGCAAGAGTAATTGTAGGAGTAACCGCAAGAGTAACCGTAAGAGTAGTTGTAGGTGTAAGCGTAAGAGTAATTGTAGGAGTAACCGTAAGAGTAATTGTAGGAGTAACCGCAAGAGTAATTGTAGGAGTAACCGCAAGAGTAACCGTAAGAGTAGTTGTAGGTGTAAGCGTAGGAGTAATTGTAGGAGTAATCGTGAGAGTAATTGTAGGTGTAAGCGTAAGAGTAATTGTAGGAGTAACCGCAAGAGTAATTGTAGGAGTAACCGCAAGAGTAACCGTAAGAGTAGTTGTAGGTGTAAGCGTAGGAGTAATTGTAGGAGTAATCGTGAGAGTAATTGTAGGTGTAAGCGTAAGAGTAATTGTAGGAGTAACCGCAAGAGTAATTGTAGGAGTAACCGCAAGAGTAACCGTAAGAGTAGTTGTAGGTGTAAGCGTAGGAGTAATTGTAGGAGTAATCGTGAGAGTAATTGTAGGCGTAAGAGTAAGGGAAAGTCTAAGTGTAAGAGTGAATTTAAGCGTAAGAGTAAGAGTAAATGTAAGTGTAACCATAAGAGTAAATTTAAGTGTAAGCGTAAGAGTGAATGAGTGAGTGAGTTGTATTTAACACCTCTATTAACAGTATTCCAGTTTTATCGCGGCGTATCAGCCTAATGTGGGAGGAAAGCCCGAAGTGATGCAGGTCTCAGACGTTTACTACTTCGGTGAAACCCACGAGCACGGGTATGGTGCTGAAAAACCTAGAAACATAATCAAGGCGAACTGGAATTTGAACCTACAATCATAGGTTTCTGGCATGTCCAAGGGACGGAACTCTGTTCAGCTAAATCACGGCGCCTTAGACGACTGGGCCAACGTGCCACCTAAGAGTAAGAGTAAATGTAAGTGTAAGAATAAGAGTAAATGTAAGTGTAAGTGTAAGTGTAAATGTAAATATGCTCAAACTAGAATTAGATAGAATCCTGAAATCAGTCTATTTCAATGTAATAAAATACCAAAGAAAACAGAGACATCAAACCTATGTTTTTGTAATGTCAAAGCCAAAAAAACAAGTCTTTAAGTACACCCACATAGTTTGATTGGCAGGTACCTGTTGCCGTGACGATGAATATCAGGAAGCAGAACTGTAGAACAGGTTTAAGATGTCTGTTGGATAAGTCTCGTATCTCGTGGCATAAGTGATGGGGGGTCTGCCGACTCAGGAGGAACATCGCCTCCATCAGGAAACAGCATCCAGAAGGTTCCTCAACACTACCGTAGTCTGTCTGAAAAAAACACAAATTGTTCATAGTTTCAAAATGACAGCCAAAGACCCTGAAATTTGGTCTAGATGTTGTCAACGAGTGTTTCATTTTGTGGCATATATTCCATGTGTCGTAGACATGTCCACTTTGGGTCTGAATCTGGTAAACTGGTCGAACATTATTCCATGTTGTCACGGTAACAGACGTGCCTACATTTGGGATTGAACATGTAAACTGGTGTGAGCGTCAGTCATGTTGTCACGGTAACAGACATGCCTACCTTTAGGATTGAACATGTAACCTGGTGACTGATGGTGTGAGCGTCAGTCAAGTTGTCATGGTAACAGACATGCCAACCATTGGGATTGAACATGTAGACTGGTGGCCGATGGTGTGAGCGTCAGTCAGGTTGTCATGGTAACAGACATGCCAACCATTGGGATTAAAAATGTAACCTGGTGACTGATGGTGTGAGCGTCAGTCAGGTTGTCATGGTAACAGACATGCCAACCATTGGGATTGAACATGTATACTGGTGACTGATGGTGTGAGCGTCGGTCAAGTTGTCATGGTAACAGACATGCCAACCATTGGGATTGAACATGTAATTTGGTGGCTGATGGTGTGAGCGTCAGTCAGGTTGTCATGGTAACAGACATGCCAACCATTGGGATTGAACATGTAGACTTGTGACTGATGGTGTGAGAGTCAGTCAAGTTGTCATGGTAACAGACATGCCAACAATTGGGATTGAACATGAAAACTGGTGACTGATGGTGTGAGTGTCAATCAAGTTGTCATGGTAACAGACATGCCAACCATTGGGATTGAACATGTAGACTGGTGGCCGATGGTGTGAGCGTCAGTCAAGTTGTCATGGTAACAGACATGCCAACCATTGGGATTGAACATGTAAACTGGTGACTGATGGTGTGAGCGTCAGTCAAGTTGTCATGGTAACAGACTTGCCAACCACTGGGATTGAACATGTAGACTGGTGGCCGATGGTGCGAGTTGCAGTGAAGTTGTCATGGTAACTGACATACCTACCTTCAGCCCTGGAGCAGGCTGTGTGTGAGCATCAATTTCTGTTGTCATACCTGCCTACACTGGGGATTGGAACAAGGAACCAGTGATTGATATTATGAGCATCAATTTCAGTCATGGTACATACATGCCTTTCATCAAGTTTTGAGTGTACTGCTACATTTTCATGTTTACCTAGAAAAGAAACTTGTACAGGAAAAATGTTTCTCAGTCATCAAATCAAAATATTTAAAAATCAAGATACTATTAGTTGCAAAACTAATTATGGATAGTTGAAAATTTTATAGCGTGATGACAGATGGAATGCAGGATGATGGCAATGATGTAATAGCGCTGACTTGGTTGATGCATGTCATCGATCCCAATTGCGTGGATCGATGCTCATGATGTCAATCACTGGATTGTCTGGTCCAGACTCGATTATTTACAAACAAACAAACAAATCTTTGAATTATGAACAATGACAACCAGTGTTTGATATTTGGGCATTTTAATTATCAAGCTCTTACAGTATTGTTTTCATTTCTTCTTTCCTTCTCACTTGGTTCATCCATCTTGTTTTCTTCTTTCCTTTCCCTCTACCTAATTCAGTAGAACCTTGTTTTTTTAAAATCGTGTCAACATAAAAATATAGAGATAGATTACCATATATCGCTGTGTATAAGGCGAGTTTTTCGTACCTAAAATAAGGGGGCTAAGAAGGGGGGTCGTCTTATACACGGAGTCGAAGATCTCACATTTTTTTCCACTGGCGATGTCAACCGGCGTCAGATAGCCAGCCGAGCATTTGACAATAAAACTTCACATTTCGTCCTGAATAACTGTTCCAATAACTATTTCCATACATAAACATGATTTGTATCTCTTTTCCTTGAATAAAGTTTAATAATTTCTGCAAATAAAGTTGAAATGACCCTCGCCTCGATGCAGATTGTCAAACCACCTGACACGGTAAAACAATCAACATCCGCGAGTAGAGAGCCGGAAGTACTGGTAAGCATTTGCATATTGCACATGTGACCTAACATGTGATAACCGGTGAAGCTGAAATCAATTCCCGCTGTTTTTACAGTTGTATTAACAAGTGTTGGAGACAGTGTGTACAAGTGATTGTGGAATAAACACGCTGAATGTGAAGCAAACATAAGCCTAGTTAGTTACAACATAGTTAATTGGCGATTAAATTACTCACCATTGTCTCTTATATGTTATTACTTCATAAATGAATTTTATTTTATGGGCACCAATTTGGTGTCGTACCGTGTAAACACAAAATGGCGACGTGTGCTGGAGTTACACACGCGACCTATCATTGTAGAAAAAAAACAACGCAAGATAAACATATTTTTATTGCATATATAAGGTTTGTGTGCGCACTTGTGATGTGTGCGAAATACGCATCAGTCGGAAAGCGCACGTTAAATCTCCAAAGTAACAAACTAACTTGTGATGTCCGTGTGCGAAATACGCTACAGTCGGAAAGCACACGTTAAATCTTCTATATCAGTCAGACTTGTGATGTGTTTCATTCCCGGTCGCCTTATACACGGAGTATAGGATTTTGGGTTGATTTTTAAGGCGTGTACAGGGGGGTCGTCTTATACGTGGGGTCGCCTTATACACAGCGATATACGGTATGACGAAAGTCCCAATTAGGATTCCATTGGATGAAATGACATCGCTTTAACACTGCATTGACTTGTTGGGGTTGTGAATCAGGATTTGCAGGCAAATTAGGTCCCTTGACATTTCAGCCCTGAATAATAAGGACTGGATTTACAATGATGACCTGACTGATTGTGAGGTGTTGTTACCAGTGATTTGTGTCACTAAATAGAGATTATTAGCGGAGTGTGTGTCTGTTATTCATAACAATACTGTATTCGATTTAATAAACAGCCCGCTTTTATCTTCAATTTTATATGTCATGACTTAGTTTTGTTTCTTCTCTCACACTCTATAAGATATCACAATGTTTTGTTATTTTTTGGTTGTTTTTTTTGCATTAAGACAGTTGAGCACAGTTATAAAGAACTCGGCAATCTGGTATTAGCAATGTCTTGCCTCGGTCTTACTTCCTCAATCATAACCTCGGAGTTGTGCTTTATCCTTCACTGATGGACTTCAAAAAGTACCATAGGTTAATGTATTTGATGTGACGAGGCCGGGGATCGAACCACAGACCTACTTACCTGACAGAAACTCTATCCACTAGACAATGGAGGCAATCTGTCCCGAATTTTCAAGCATGGATCACTTTATGTCTATTTTTGAGATTAAATAAATCTAACAAGTTATTTTTAAGTTTGACTTGAAACCCACTTCCCAGAATTAGTTTTCATTGGAAATCTAAGAGGCAGACACTCTTATCAGGCATGTGTCATTTGGAAACACTAAAACCATAAGTGGTTCCACTTGAAAATCGCCTCTGGCATTTCAGATGACACTGCATGAAGTTGAAACTCCTTTATTTCACAAAGCTTCTCCGAATCTGGAAGAACTTCAAAAGTAGCTTCTGGCACTATGAAATCCTGTGTGCATTAAGCATCTGTATTGGGTGCAAGTGTCCATGGGTGTTTCTACAGCGTTCTTTAGGCGCTGACCTTGCAACATTTGGATACGCTCTCCTTTGGTGAATAAATGAGAATCCAACCCTTTCCTATTCTAGGAGGGCTGCTGGAATGGTTGTGAAAAAGTTATCCTTTTCTGAAAATAATGGACACAAATAATTTGTCCTCTGTTTTTTCAACAAACAACATTTTCCCCTGGACATGGTGGATGTTCTGAAAAGAAAGTATTCTGACCACCTTTTGTTATGTCCCTAATGCTAGGGAAGGCAGTTTAACACTACCATTTGCTGAAGTCTTTTGTTGACGCAGTCGGGGATTGTGCAACTGACCCCCCTCTGCTTTCTAGGTAGACGGTCTATCCAGTAGACCACAGGTTGGCTGACACTAGAGGTAGAGTGAGTATGGTTTTATGCTGCTTTTAGCAATATTCCAGCAATATCACGGCGGGGGACACCAGAAATGGGCTTCACACATTGTACCCATGTCGGGAATCGAACCCGGGTCTTCGGCGTGACGAGTGAACGCTTTAACCACTAGGCTACCCGACCGCCCCTCTAGAGGTAGAAGATAATGCTATCAGGAAGAATATATTTGGTCATCTGGACTAGGCTGGAATTCCGGAGTTACATTCTGGCTGGACTAACGAGTCTATGCATAGTCCAATCAAAGTCGTGTAATGAACAACATGGATTTCAACATGCAGATTTCGGTCGACTGCAGGATTTGCGAAGCATATTTACCGTCAACTGGGCATCGACAGATATTTTCCAAATCTTTTCATGTTATTAATCAAGGTGCTCAAGCCATTCGATGCACTTCGCAATGTAAGGCCCCTTTCATTACAGTATAGATCTTTTAAATTTTGTCTTGTCACGATATGTCTGAAATATTGCCAATGTGACGTAAAACTTTAACTCACTCACTCAGTCACTTACAGTATAGATCTTGATTATTAATCAGATCGTTGTGACTGAGCGCTGCTATTTTGTTTGAAGCAATTGCAAGTGAAATGAGAGGTGGAATCTGATTAGTGAGTAGGAGGGAAGTAATTGTTGGCGCTACAATCGATCCTCGAAATTCCACCCTCGTTAGACAAGGGTGGAAACTGGACTTTTATAGTCAGTTCACCCCCTTCGCTAGGGAAGATGGTATTTGGTATGATGAGACCATGGATCGAACCAGTGCTCTTCCGTTCTCCGTCCGGCCAGACACATCTAGTAGCCACTGGACCAAGGAGGTATTCTGTCTCAAACCCAAATCCGAGCCCCATCAACTGGTTGGTGCCAAGCAATAATGCAGTGTTGCAATGATCAAAGATGTTTCTATAGAGTTCTTCAGGCTCTACAGCCTGGTAAAATTGGGATATATTCTTTGTAATGGTAGGGCAGGATTATAGTTTTAGAAGTTAGATATACTTAGAGTTACTTCCCTTTGAAGTTTGCCATGTGCAGAGTAAATATTTTTTATGATGCAATGGACTCTGAACTCGATTGTATGCTTGAGATATGCTGGAGATATGCTTGAGAAATCCTGGAGATATGCTGGAGATATGTTTGAGATATCCTGGAGATATGCTGGAGATATGCAGGAGATATGCCGGAGATATCCTGGAGATATCCTGGAGATATGCTGGAGATATCCTGGACATATGCCGGAAATATCCTGGAGATATCCTGGAGATATGCAGGAGATATGCCGCAGATATCCTGGAGATATCCTGGAGATATGCTGGAGATATGCCGGAGATATCCTGGAGATATCCTGGAGATATGCCGGAGATATCCTGGAGATATGCAGGAGATATGCTGGAGATATCTATGAAACTACCCTGAGTACCATGCCTACAATAAACTACACAGACAAACACTCCATGCGCTGAGTACTATGACCTGCAACAATTGCTACCTGCTGTTGTGCGTCATTTAGGTTTCCACCATCCCAGTGATGCAGCATGCTTCAGATCATGTGTTCATGTAAAAGTTGATGAGCACCGATGTCAGTTGGATGTGTTCAGTTTTAGAACTTGTTGATGGAAATATGGATTGGTTCCAGATTGGCAAATAGGTGCATGAAATGATGTCAGCTCTTCTTTCCACACTCTTGGTGCTTGAAACATAATAAACTGACCCTGACCAAACCATCCAGACACAACTAAAGAAGTACACACTCTGGGAAGAATGGGGAGAAATAGGTCCATGCTTGTTTCATCATCCCGATCTGGCTTCCACAGTTGATATCTCCTGGCAAGGTAGACACTATTTTATGGATAACAACTTCTTTAATACTGTAAACAGCGACGTTTCAATATAGATCCTTATACCGTTGTCAGTCCTGTTCGACAACGGTATAAGGATCTATACCAAAACGTCGCTTTTTGCAGTATTAAAGAAGTTGTTATCCATAAAATTGTTTCTACCTTGTCACCCGTCAACTTCTAAGTAATGCCTATCAAACAAGATATCTCCTGGGACAGTGAGTGAG